TGAACTGTTCTGACAGGAAGGACCATCTTGGGACTCTACTATATACAGTCCTGAATACAGGCTGAGAAGTTTGGACAGTGTGTATTTGGAGTGCATTCCGATCTAGGGCACTCTTTATGAGGCAGTATTCTGCTGTGATGCATAGGATGTTCATTGAGTAATTGTTAGAAGTATGTCATCAAACCTTTCTTCCTAGCTTATCTTAGTCTGCACGCTTTGTAAGCCACCATGGCATGACAACCCGACAGCTGTGTGGTGGTATATATATTGTATATGTTGTTAACTGCAGCTGAGTCAGCCTGACAGCTGTGTGGCGGTATATATATTGTATATGTTGTTAACTACAGCTGAGTCAGCCTGACAGCTGTGTGGTGGTAGATATATTGTATATGTTGTTAACTGCAGCTGAGTCAGCCTGACAGCTGTGTGGTGGTATATATATTGTATATGTTGTTAATTGCAGCTGAGTCAGCCTGACAGCTGTGTGGTGGTATATATATTGTATATGTTGTTAATTGTAGCTGAGTCAGCCTGACAGCTGTGTGTTGGTATATATATTGTATATGTTGTTAATTGCAGCTGAGTCAGCCTGACAGCTGTGTGGTGGGATATATATTGTATATGTTGTTAATTGCAGCTGAGTCAGTTCTGGCTCATCTGGACTCCCTTTGTGTCACAGTAGAACTATGCTGCATATAATGTTCAAAGCCATGACTTTTCAAATGCACATTGCCAGACTTGGCTTCAGAGGCACTCTATGGATAGGTTTGAACTGTCAGTCTTTCAGCTAGTAGTTGAGCACTTAACTGTTTGCATCACCCAGAAAAACTATCTTATATTGTTGTTGTTGTTGTTGTTAAGTACCATGGAGTCCATTTCAACTCATAGAAACCCTGTAGAGGGTTTCCAAGGAGTGGCTAGTGAGTTTGAACTGCCAACTTTGTGCTTCAAACCAATCTTGAGGTTGAATGCTTATCCTAGGGTGCCACACTAGGACTCCTAATTGTTTTGTTAATGTATCGAGTCATTTCTGACCCTGTGCACAACAGAACAAAACAGTGCCTGATCCGGAGCCATCCTCAGTTACTTGATTTGAGCTCATTGCGGCCATCATTGTGCCAGTCATCTCATGCGGGTTCTTCTTCTCCTCTGACCCTCCACTCTTCCAAGCATGATGTCCTTCTCCAGGGACAGGTCCCTCCTGAGTGACACAGTCTGGCCATCCTGACTTTGAAGGAGCATTCTGGTTGTACTTCTTCCAAGATAGATTTGCGTGTTCTTCTGACAGTACATGGTACTTTCAATTTTCTTTGTCAATACCACAATTCAAAAGCATCGATTCTTCACAGGTCTTCCTTATTCATTGGCCAACTTTCACATGCACATGTTGTTGTTGTTGT